GTGAGTCCTGGGAGAGCTGCTTACCCTTTACGCCGCTCTACCGTTAGTACGCAGCTCTGGAATGTGCTCCATGAGGCTGCCTAACAAGTACAACGTGTCATTTGACTACTACTACTGCCTCATCATCGTCATGCTGTCCTACATCCCACGTAAGGAGCATTTCACTGCAGCCGGTGTGGCTGAGAAATGAATCTCTAAACGTCGTTGGTTAAAGGAATTTTGAAGATGATTTGTAATAAATTGGTTTCGTTTTCCCTCAGTGTTTCCTCAGCTTTACTTCCACATGTTGAGACAGAGAAGGAAAGTTCTCCACGGTGAGGTCATAGTGGAGAAGGATGATTAGACGAGCACCACCTCCTGCCTTTGCCTCCACACCACACCTCCTCACCTCCATCCTCTCAGCACCAATCAGAACATGCTTTCTTCATCACACGGGACGAGAAGAGCTGCAGCGATGACAGAAGAAAAAGACACAAACCCCAGGATTCAATCAGCGTTCTCTTACAGGATCCATTTAGCGCGAAACGTCAGTTTGGAATGGTCGTGTTTACAAACCCAGTGTAGCTGGAGCTCAGCGCAGCCGAGGTCCTGAATTTACCCAGCAGCCTTAGCACATGCTGTTGCAGCTGTAAACTGCACAGGTGTAGAAGGCGAACCTGAGGCTGGCAGGGAAAAGAGAAAGGAAACTTGGAAAGAAGATGATAAAGTTGAGTTGTCACCCTCTCCTTCCTACATGATTGGCCCTTTTATTTCACTGTTTTAACGGTGTTGGCACCATCACGGTGTGGCTGTACCATAAGTCGTATATAAAAAATGGATGTGGCTGCACGACCCTAACTGTAACACTCTTCTCGTCATATATTCAGTCTGTTAACATTTTCCTTCGATGTCAGTTTTGTAAATCCCTATAAAAGAGAAACGGTGCCTGTAGGTACAGCACTATCTGTGACTGACAACTGGACGGTCCAATAGGAGCCTTGTTGTAGGCAACATTGGTTTAACAGTCCCACAAGGTGTCCACTCTATCCTGCCATGTTGCATTGTCCATTTAGAGTAAAATGGGATTTTGCTTTACGAATCTGGCGACATGTTCTGTTCAGGATGACCACAAATGAGCAATTCAGCCTCTTTGGAAGAAAGTTTTGTTGACATTCGGTATAAAGGGAGAATTGGTCTGATGACAGATCAAACCAGAGCCACATCCATTTCTTATATGAGCTCGACAACAGAAGGCTTTAAAAGAAGGAATATTAAAAATAATTATATAATACCTCAACAATAAATCTCCATTTAGACAATTTGCTGCTGCATTTGTGTATGTTTGTTTACCCAGAGATTGCATTTAAGAAGTCGTTAGGGAAAATTGATTAAAAACTGAGCAAGCTTTGAACCACTAGGGAGCGCTTTTGCTTTCTTTGTTAAAACCTCCTGTTTTAACAAAGAAAATGAGGCCGCTTAGAAAAAAAAAACTCCTGTTTTAACAAAGAAAATGAGGCCAGTTCTTCAACCGCGACGGTCCATTTGCTTCAATCTAAATTGCTCTGAATGTCGCTCAACAGTTGAGTTGCTAGTTTCAGGTCAGTTTTGTAAGTCGTGATTCCATTTAGTAGAAATTTGGAGATAAAGCACAGTGTTTTATTTTAGCTTCCAGATGAGTATGTCGTCCTTTTCTTATAAACAGTGTGATTTTTACATGATGTGATTACTTCACGTAATTTATCACTTAGAGCAAAACCAGCTCAAACTTCACATCTTGTCGTGTGTGTGAGACTCAGCTCTTGTCTTGTTTTGTGTTGCTTTGATGTTTACGATGTCACAAACATTTACAAGAGTGCGTCTTAAAGCAGTCAGTGTCTTCAAAAAAAAAAAAAAAAAATCCTGGAGTTGCTCCAGCTGGGCCTAAGATTATTGAGCACGCTCTCAGCCAGTCACTGTGTTCTTGCTTTTTAGACGACCCTAACGTCCATGTTGAGTGACCACTAGTTCAATTCCCTCTTTCCAAAGGTGCTATTGTAAGGTTTGAATCTTCCGTGCAACTGAAGGAGTGACTGTGATTGGAGTTGACCCAAAACAGGAAGAAGGAAGTGAATGGTAAAAAGTACGTGTTGGTCACGAACGACTTAGGCAACAGTCGTTTTGCTTACAGATTTGGGAATAAGAAGAAAAAAATACTGCAGAAGTTATTTTTCAAGGGGGAAAGAAACAGAAATGTGAAAATATCTTTTTTTTTGTGCTACGTCAATAAATTAAATTCTACAATACTGTGGAGCGTGCTGTGCTGAACTTCAAAAATTCAGATGATCAAAAAGTGAATTTTTCCTATGGTGTCGTTCACTAACATACAATTTCTACTGGTCCAATGAAATGTTTTTCAATGACTCAAATGTATGGGGAACGGGTGAGGAAGTGTGTGAGGGAGGGGTGGGGTCATGCACACCCATTTATAAAAAGTCCAGCATTACACCGTAATAATCTGTCACCTTTATTGAAATGCACCAATAGTAATGTTGACTGCACTGTCTTCTTGTCACCTGTAGGTGGCTTTGCTCTAATCATGTAACCCTCCATATGGACTCCAGGGACACATCAGCATGTAAACTAGCACGTCCTGACGTCCAGCCTCCTGGAAGTTCAACTCCAACGAGTGGGCCGTAACTGACGACTTCCAAACACTGATATTTAGTTGTTTTTTTTAATTTTATTTCAGAATGTTTCTTTTTCTTTCATAGTGAAAAAACAAACCTTAAAAATCAAGTGTTTTATTTTTAAACAGGAAATTCCTGAGACGGAGAGAGAAAATTGTACATTTTCTATTTATAGGTAGAATCCACAGATTTCCGTTCATATAAACATATGCGTGTCTGTAGTGAGTAAAAAAAAAGTCTCATAGTAACAAAAATATGACTATTACACAGTTCAAAAAGTGATTTTTTTTCCTGTGTTTTGTTTTTTCAAATATTTCTATATATGTAAATACATTGAAAATACTACGTTGACATTCGGGAGGTTAGATAACAGTTCCTTCAAAGATAGCACATCAGCAACATGTTTTTGTGCATCATTTTGTACCTTTTGTCACTTCACACAGTATGATGGAAGAAGTTAAGTCCACTTTAGTTCATAAAATTTCTTTTCCTACAAAACCTGCGTCATGATATATACATTCAGATATTCAGTTGCACAGAGAATACACTTTTAAAGAATTACACCAGTTACACCATACAAATATAAACCAAAAACTGACTCCCCTCTGTGGTTGCTCTGATGTATTGCACTTGCTGGTAAAGTTGGATTGGCTTCACTTGTAGGAGAAAGGCAACTCTTTTTTAACGTCTGATGATGTAATGCCACAGCTTGTTTTGTTTTGTTTTGTTTTTTCTTCACAAATTTGTCCCCTCTCTCTCTTTCTGTCCTCTCTCCATGTGCCGTCTCAGTGGTCCAGTACCACGTGGTTGAGGTCTAGCTGCTTAGTGCAAGCTTGCCTTTTCTAACATCACTACGATCCAGGTGATCCCACTGAAAATACGGAGAAAGTACATCAGTTTCACACCTTTATGGAAACTTCTGTTACAGCAAAACAGTTCATATGGAAGTAAAAAAAGAATAATAATTACATACCGGTCTCCATTTGTTTCTCACAGATGTAGCTGATCGAATCTTCACAGAAGAAATCGTTCCAAAACCCTTGATAGATGAGACCTGCGCAGTCCTCACCCTCCGCATGCATGTGACCCCAGTTGTCCGGTTGACCAGGTTTCCAGTACCTGCAGACAGACAGCAGGGGGCGATCAAACATCACATGTAGAGTTTTGGGTGAGTCAAAGAACATTGTGACGAATCAATAATAATCAGCGACATTGATTTCTCTTTGTAGCTGTAGTTTTATCTTTTAGCACAGAACTTTATTCTAATGTTTTCATTGGATGACCCTGACGGTCTGCGCCTGCAGGAGTGAAAAAGTAGTTCTGTAAAGTCAGTGCCATCCAAATGCACCACTTAGTGGAGATTTTTACAGGAATTTGAAAGTTTATTTGGTTTATTTTACGCAACTCAAAACCTGCAAATTAGTCTGAAAACGATCCGTCGGCCGTGTTCCTGTTGTTAGCCTTGGAAACAACGATGTCAGCTGGGATCAAAAATCCTTCCTACGGAGAGAACGTTTTTCCTAAGACAGAGGAGTGTGTTGATGTACTACTGACGTGAAAGTAGGTTTGGTGCCATCCAGCCACCGCCACACGTTCTCCTCCGCCCTGTCGGTTAGACCGATCCAGAAGTAACCTTTGAAGGTCTGCTTCTGCAGCCACTCCTGAAGACACACGAGAGGGAAAAAAAACACAAATTACATCCGTTGTACCTCCTGTGGTTTTTGATAAAACAGGACAGTTCCGTTACCTGTTCCTCTTCATCATTGATGATCAACAGTGACGCAGACTCCGATTGGCATTTTGACAGGGCTTCATCAAATTTGAGGTAATCCTTAGAGTAGAAGTAGCACTTGTCTCTGTAGTTCACCCATCCAGGAGGACAACCTGCAGAACCAGGACAGCATCAGGGGTCAGACTGGACTCGATTGCTCTGGATCGAAACATCATGCACCGGCACTTTTCTGTGTTTCCGCCGTTTTCATTTTTATGTTTATGTTCATAACATTAGCTCTGTAGCAAAAAGAATTAGCACTTTTCCGAGACATAAAGGCTTTTAATCAACGTGTTTCAACTCATATCTTAAGGGGAGTCATACCAGGGGCCCATAACGTAGGAACCGCTGCCTCGTCCTGCCACAACTCTGGAGTCAAGGTCACAACTGGAAGATGAACTTGAGCGCCTATGTGTCCTGGTGGCCCTGGTAGTCCAGGAGGTCCCACTGGTCCCACTGGTCCCATCAATCCCCTGGGGCCCTGCTCACCGGCTGGTCCCACTGAGCCTCTGATACCTGGTGGACCTTGTGCCCCCTGAGGACCAGGCTGTCCATCTCTTCCAGGCAAACCAGCAGTACCTGGCTCTCCTTTAGATCCAGGAGGTCCAGCCCTGCCTCCTGACCCTCGGGAACCTTTGGATCCCGGAGTACCAGGTGCACCTGGAAAACCTCTTATCCCAGGCAGACCGGGTGGGCCTGAAATACCTGGCTCACCTTTAGGTCCACTGTTACCAGGAGCACCCTTTTCTCCTCTCTCTCCTTTTTGACCAGAGGGACCAGGTTGTCCCTGCGATCCCTTGTCTCCTCTTGGCCCTCTGAGACCAGGAGGTCCTGAAACATTAAAAATACTAGTCAACCAAAATGTGACACCTGGGCATGTTAGTTTAATCCAACGCCAACTGTCTGGGTTGTAGATCCAAGGCCAATCCTTTACCAGATCTTTAAGACACCGAAACATACCAGACCTACCTTTTAAAATAGTGAAGTTGGTTATAAGTTGGGAGTGCTTGGTGTCCACCAGTTTCATCTCCTCCATGACTATTGAGAGACTGGTGACCTCCTTGTCTAGACGCCCCGACAGCTCCTCCTGTTGGGCCCTCAGACCTGCTGCGTCAGTCCTCACGTCCAACACACTGTTGTTCAGGTTCAACAAAAAGTCTGAGTGACGTCCGACCGTCTCAGAACAGGTGCGTAAATCGTTCAGGTTAAGGTTGATGGCTCCCAGTAGCTGCGTGGTAAAACTGATGTTACCGGTCACACGGTCCATGCTCTGCTCAGACTCGTCCAGTCGGACCTCCAGCCGATCAAACTTGCTGGAAGAGAAGTTGCTGAAGTCCCTCTGTCGATCGATGATCTCCCTCAAGGTTTGGTCGTGAGCCTCAGCCAGAGTGCTGGTGTTCTGGAGCTGGTTGGCCATAAAGTTCAGCTGAGATCCCACGTCCTCCAGGCTGTCGTTGTTAGCCTTGGCCAGAGCTGAGACGTTACTAGCTAAAGTTTGCAGGTTTTCCACTTTACCTCGAAGCCAGTCGGTGTCAGCGCGTGTTTGTAGTGTCGTCTGCTCAAGGTTTTGAAAGTCATTGTGTAGTTTCTGGATGATCTGGCTGGCGTCATCTACGGACCGCTGCAGACCACCAACAAGACCCCGCTGCTGAGCCTGGGTGAGGTTTAAGCCGCTGATGCTGAGAAGTGCCTGGTTCTGGAGCCTGGACTGCTGCTGCAGGTCTCTCTGCAGCCTGGCAGTGTCCTCCTGCAGAGCCTCAATAATGCCCGCGTAGGAGTGCAGGGTGGCATTTACCGAGCGGAGGGTAGCTGTGTTTGTTTCCAGAAGTCTCTGTGTGGAACCCTGGCTGCTCTGGATGTCTGAGCCGATGCTCTGCAGCTGACTGAGCTTGACTTGATCACCGCGGATGCGTTCCTCCACCGTAGACAGCTGCCTCTGGAGACTCCAGATGCTGTTCTTAAAAGTCTGGATCTCTGTGGTGGTGTTCTCTGACTTCTCTCCCGTCTGGTCATCTAAAGATGGAGATTTGAACAATAAATCTGGAACGGTTTCATCCTCCTGATGAACATATGTTTAAATCCAGACCGTATGGATGGAACTCACCTAGCTTTTTTAAATCGGTCTCAACAGCCACTATCTTGCCTCCATAGTTGGCGATACCTTCAGACACACTGTCCACTCTCTGAACCACTGTGAAAACAACAGACACAAACAGAGGAGTCAGTCGCATCATAATCTTTGTTGCCTGCAACCATGGATGTACTTCATGAATGAGATCAGAGAGAAGGTCAATGAAATTCATATATAGAAAATGTCCACTTATCCTTCAGGTATTCAATAATAACTAAAAATAATCTCTTGGATTAGCCTAGTTCCGGTGAGTTGTGGAAAAAGTGGAGTGCAAATAATCTGGAGTCACAGAGAGCAAAGGTCATCAGCCAGAAAGACAAAACAAAAGAAACAAATAAAATTCACAGACAAACAGACGAAGGCCGTCAAGGCTGGAGGTCTGTCTGGGGGACACTGATTGGGGACAGGAAGTGACTTCGGGGGTGTCTTCGATAAACAGACGGATCAAAGACTGCACAGAGGAGACAGACACGCTGCAGCAGGGAGCGCTCTTCACGCCCCCACAGGCGACACCAGAGTTCATTTCCTCTGGAATGTGTCTGGGATTCCAGGGATTCAGCCCATTTCTACTACCAGTCTCGCCAGGGGGGGACACTTCCTGAAACTGGGAACAGCCTGGGCTCGGCTGTGTGCCGTGAGACAACGTTTTAGCCACAGAGCTGTGGGTAAAACAACAGCATCAGCGACACCTTAGTTTCTACTCTCGGCTGCTCCTTCTCGGGTTGCCACCGTGGACCATCCTACTCTATCTTTCCTCTAGTGCCCTCTAGTGTTATGCCAACCATCTGTGTGGCAGAGAGATTTCATTTGGTTCCATGCTGCAAACGAACCTTTCTCTCAGAGACTTGGATTTCAGCCATTGGACATAGATTTTGTTCATTCAACAAAGTCACGTCTGCAGGACAAGTCAGGCTTCACATCAGGTCACACAGCAGGACCCCAGATATGGGCTGCAGGTTAGCTTTTTACCAGAACTAAAGCTGAGAGGAGTGACCCAGAGACCCAGCTCTAAGCTGGGTACAGAACTCTGCAGAGCCCCGGCCATCACCCTGAAGTGAAACAGCATTTTTTCTCTGTGAAACAGAACAGAAAAAAAGCATTCTTCAGCTTCAAGATGAATTAACGCTGAAATGTTTCAGGAACTTCAACACGGTTTTGACTCAACAGAAATGTTGCCAAAGTCAGGCGATGGTCCAACCATGACATTTAGTCCTGTAAAAACTTCAACAGACTTGGACCTCAGATCCTCCTTAGGTACAGCTGACATTATTCTGGAAGCTGAAACCCTCCCAGGCAGACCAGCAGGTTTGGGGGGGGTTGTATTTGTATCCACACACTCCGCTCTCCTGCGTGGTCAGAAACCTTATAGGTCCAAAAAAAGCTGTTCTGTACCCAGGAAAAAATTCTTTCCAGCCCTTGCGTGGGTGGTTCCTGAAACGGTGTCAGTTCAGTCCAGGATGTCTTGTAAAACCCCGCTTCTCCATAATGTATAAGTCAGAACTAATAAAAAATATTATGATGAAATGAGAGAGCGGTGAACTCTGAGCACGCAGATGAAACATCATGAAGTGAGAGTACAAGTGTAACGAGCTGGTGTTGGAGGAGGTGAAGGGGAAAAAAACGTCCGACTGCAACTGCTGTTTGTATGGTGATGGGATGAAACAGTTATGTTTTCAATCAGTTTAAAGTTTGTTTTTTTTTAATAATTCCATTCCTGGTCCCTTTGGTTGGTCGGAGACGACATCATCTACCAACTGAACTGGATATTTACCTCTTGGTTCTTCCAATGTCTGTGGAGAACCTTCTGGGGATTTACTGTCGGCCCAAAAATTTAACATACTACAGTAGATTTGGTCAGTTCTGGTCTGTGGTCCAGTAGATGGTGGGTCGGTTCCATTTTTTTTTTCTCACAGCGATTAACTTGTTCTTTTCCTTCACGTGGTTAATACTGTCTTAAAGAGACAGATGTATTGACAGTGAGGTGGTGTGAAAAACTAGTGTTGGTAGATGACGCCCCCTGCAGGTGAGAGGAAAAAAAGGAACACCCAACAGACTGGGTCGTGATGGAGGTAAGGTCATCTGGTCATTTTTTGGGATTTAAACCTCTGTCGTGCATCGTCATGTTGACAGAGACGAACGTCTGCGGGATGACGGACATGTCGCAGAATTCCAGCCAATTATTTTGCACTAAATCCAGAGCTCCACAGGGGGCAGTGTTGGGAGCCTGGCAGAGGTTCAGGTGTTAAGTGCACGGAGCTCTCTCTGGGTCTCACTACATAACCATCTGGAGCTGAGAGTGTGTTCAGGTTGAACTGTGGTTCCCCTGACGCAGCGCTGCTCCAGTGCCAGAAAAAAAAAAAGAAAAACCCAATTTCAGTGGGTTCTGCTGGAAGTGTGCTCCGTTCACTCTGTGCTCATCTGGGATCAATTAAGTTGGCCTGAAAACACGCAGCGAGGAACAAGCAAAGGACAGGCCAGGGTTGGGAGAGCCAGGGGACGTCGTTGTTGAAGTACTCGAGGCACCAAGATAACCCCTGAACATGTTACCTCCATTCCGTCCTCACAAATTGAAAGGGAAGAAACGGAACAGAAAGAACAGTCCCATATGGGAAAGTTTAGCAAAATTACGGCAGGATATTCCAGGGTTCAGTTCAACGAAAGACGACCTGCAAAACGGCCGAAAAGCCAACGAGGAAGTTCTGAGCCACAGAGCCTGAAGGCCTTCCACGTGTGGTGTGAGCTTTGGGGGTGTTGGTAAAATAAACGGAGACACGTTTGTGCGGTGGAGACGGAGGGGGAGTTGGGGGGGGGGCTGACTGATGAGAGTGAAATGTGAAGGCTTTGTTTATGTACGCTACAGTGGAGCACATGTTCTTCAGACTCATCTGTGCTGCTGCAGTCGGACAGAGACGAATGAGCAGTGAATGACGTTAGCGTGCTGCTACAGATGGGAATGCAGTGACAGCATTATTTTTTTTTAATCAGATCCGACTGTGGCTTTAATGCTTTGAACGTGCGTTTGTCGCTGGATTCGTTGGGTAACGTTGATAATTAAAGTTATTCAAGCCGGAGGTCGTTCTTCTGTCGCTCTCACCTTTATATCCCAGGACGGCCACAGCGATGGTGAGGAGCGTACACAGCACATACAGCAGAGCTATCGACGTCTTCAGCGCCCATTCATTCTTACACTTGGTGCACTGGGTGCCCTCCTGGATGCCTGTGTGAAAACAACACAATATTATTGGATGGGATTTTTTATTTATTTATTTATTTTTTTCTGGAGCTCTGAAACGGAAACATTTGACTCGTCCTGTACAGGAGTCAGACCCACATCTGGACAAACAGTTCTGGAGTCAACATTAAAGAGTCCAACAGCTCCCCCAGGGACCAGCTGGTAAAATGGGAAGGGGACACTCCCCCCCCCCGCCCTCTC